TGTAACAGAGCAGAAGGATACAAGTAACTATCACACCTAATCACGGCTTTTCTTCTTTTAGTAAGCAAAACAAAAATCCTGGCCTTCCTTTCTTTTTCCAACCACTGAGCAAAGTCTTTGTTCATCTACAATTCCATCATGCCATTGATGGCTGGATTCAGACATAACTCACAAAAATCAAGTCTGGTTCACATTCAACCAGACTAGTCTGGAGTCAGTTGTACCAAGACATTCGGAATGAGAATTCTAAGCAAGAATCTGAATATGATAAAATTTGGATTCAGCAAAAACAAAACACTGAACAAATATGTGCCTTCTTTGGAGAGAAACCAATTCTAAAACCTGAAATCTTGAATCAGCTGCAGAAATGTAAAAATCCTATATACACATGGAAATTACAATTGGGTGAAATACAACACACACACCCTCGTGCCTTAAAACAGTCAGGAGGAACCAAAGATGTAGTGGACATCAGATCTTAACAAATGAAATAAAGGAAGACTGGTAGAAAACATCTCACCTTACTGAGTGATTCTTGTCAAATTGCTTTCACATAACACGATTACTGTATTTTTCAGAGTATAAGACACACTTTTCCCCCCCAAAAAAGAGGGTGAAAATCTAGGTGCGTGTTATGCACTAAACACAGCATTTTTAGCCTCCCGAAACCCCACCCCCTTTGCAAAAATGGCCGTGCATAGCCTTTAGGGGGTTTCCAGAGTGCTCCTGGGGGCTGGAGAAGGCACAAATGAGCGAAAAATGGTCCATTTTTGCTCTCCCCCCCCCCCAGGAGCAGTCTATAAGCCTCCTAAAGGCTATGCATGCCATTTTTTTGACAAAAATGGGGCCCGTTTTTGCAAAAAACAGGCTATTTTTGGGAGGTCTGCAGAGTGCAAAAACTTTTTTTTTTAATTTTGCCTCTTCAAAATCTTGGTGTGTCTTATACTCCAAAAATACTGTAAGTATAAATGAATTAAATATAATTAATTACTACTGATCTTGAATTAATTTAAAATTGATTAATTTAAAATCAAATTATGTTTGGATTTTAAAAATCAATTTTTAAGCCCTGATTCCCTTCATTAGTTTACATCACACATTTTTGGACCCAGGCTCTTTTTGTAGCCGAGGTGGCGCAGTGGTTAAATGCAGCACTGCAGGCTACTTCAACTGACTGCAGTTCTGCAGTTCGGCTGTTCAAATCTCACCGGCTCAGGGTTGACTCAGCCTTCCATCCTTCCGAGGTGGGTAAAATGAGGACCCGGATTGTTGTTGGGGGCGATATGCTGACTCTGTAAACCGCTTAGAGAGGGCTGAAAGCCCTATGAAGCGGTATATAAGTCTAACTGCTATTGCTATTGCTATTGTACCCCAAGTTTCTAATATAGTGTTGGTGAAATTTAGTGGTACAACTTTTTTTAAAGAAATAACTAGTAAAACAGGTGAACTTAGAAGAGATTAAGTTAGATGCAGTGGAAACTGATAAATTAAAGTAGCTTTTGTGTTTTAAACATAACCGCACACATACTTTAAAGTAGGTAAAAACTAAACATATTTTCTTGTGGCAATTGGGAACCAATAAAACCAGGAAGAGGCAATAAAAGGTTGCCATCCCTACACCAAATAACATTGGAGATTTAGTTTTTTCTTGGCCCTGATATTTTTGCATACATCGCTGTGGTCAGGATAGCATTTTTCTATCATGACCCATGTAAAATTACTCCATGCTAATTTCCTCTGCAGTAGTTTTTCGATCAAGCCTCCTCTTCTTCCAATATTCCTGAATAATCCTGCTTCATTCCCAACAATATGCACCTCTACAAATAACCCTCTACCACTTCCCCTTTCAGTCCAGTACCAAGGTTGTTGGTTGGGTAGCGTTTGCGCAGTCGTTCCGTCAACCGTGACACCTTGCTACGAATCACTTCATTCTTGCTCATAAAAGAACTGTCAGGAAGGCCAAGGTCAAACTCTCCTGAACCCTGAGATATGTCATCTTCCTCCTAGACAGAAAGAGAGGTTATGAGGAATGTGGTATACATATTGTTTGGGAAAAACTCTAAGGCATCCTGGAAAGTACAATCCAGAAGAATAGTTCGAAACACTACGAAAAGCAGGGTCACGCCTGGAGAAGGGATGGGATGGCAGAAAAACTTTATAAAGGTAACCCTCAAATGAATGACAGCAAATATGTGTGTCCCAGGGTAATATTGCAGGATCCAATCTGGGTCGGTCACCAGGACAAGAGGTTTAGTCTTCTGAGCTTTTGGACTCATGTTGGAGCCCATTCTCAGGGAATTTCTCTCTCACCAGAACTTTCTCACACATTTGTGAAAGAGAAGTATTCTGAGGATGGGATTCAGAATAAGTCTGAAAGCTCAGAAGACTAAACTTCTGTCCCGGTAATCAACCCAGTTTGGATCCTGTACCCTTCAACTTGGAAGAGTGCATAAGGAGATGGGATATGATCCAGACAAAAAGTATATCATAGACTGATTCTTAAGATGTTAAGATTCACAAACAATAAAACAAAAAGGGAATTCAAGCTCAAGACAGAGCAGCCCAGTTCTTGCACTCACCATTACAAGCAGCTGCGTCTCCTGTTCTTGCAGCAAAGACAAAAGACAAGAGAAGATGGCCAAAAGACAGAAAACGGTATAGCCCAATCCCAGTATCATGTATTTAAAAGTATTCCTTTCTATTTATAGGACAGTATATTATTTAAAGGTCCCTTTTATTTCTTGCACACATGTAGAAGTATTTACATCATAGGCAAAGACCTTGACCTAACTTTAACATCTCACTAACCTTAGAACAAAAATGTGAATTTATTTATTTTAGCACATTTTATAGTGATTCATTTCTGTACCTCAGTTCTGGGCAACTAACGAGAAATTAAAACCAAAGCAACAAAGAACTCCAAATTAATTTGAAAAAGAAATTTCAACAATCAATTAATATGTGCCAAGGGTTGAAATGGATAATATCTTAATGAAGAAGCATCAACAAACGAACCAATAAGGTTCACCTAATACCCTGGTCCCAATGCCACTTTTAATCCACTGGCTTATCAATATTTCCTTATTCCAGTCTTCCCCAACCTGTTATTCTCCAGAGACATTAGACTATAATATCCACAATTTATATACAGCACAGCCAAAAACTTGGAGTTATAAAGTCCAACATCTCTGGAGAGCATTGGGCAGGGATAAACTGATTTATTTGTCTCAAGACAGACCAATCTAGATTCTCAAACTACAGACCTCAATTGCATCCTTGAATTCATCATCAGGTTCTGCTTCCTCTGCTTCCTCCACACTGCCAGGAGTTAGGTCCTATGAAAAACATTTGAAGTTATTGTTAAAGGAGCAGGAGTTCAGGAATAAACTTAGAAAATTAGTAAAGTAATAGGACTGAGATGAAAAAGTAGAGAAATTAACAACTCATTTAGATGTAAACCAGCTGTCAAGGCTGCTTCACTCAGTAACCAAGAAAGAAACCACTCAACTTCATTTTGCAGAATTAAGAGTACTTTTACTGGTCATG